ACTGTTTTTCAGTTGCCATCCTATCAGCAATCTGGGAATTGCATTGGCATGAAAGTGCAATTGTGTGATTATTTTTGATGTGTAGAGTTTGAATGTTAGCAGCTCTGCTGAGGAGGTGCGCACTGCCCGAGTGGAAGTCATAAGTTATTGGAGGTGGTTTCTTTTCTTTTTTCTCTTTTTTAAATTTTTTAGTTGTAGATGGACAAAATACCTCTATTTTATTTATATTTACGTGCAGCAAAGGGTGGAGCCCAGAGCCTCACACATACCAGGCAAGCGCTCCACCACTCAGCCCAGCCCCGGCCCTGAAGGTGACCTTTTTATTCACAAAACCTGAAAACTTGGCCTGGGTTTTGTGAGGCGATATAGAACTGGAAAATACAATTTTACATTTTCAACCAAAGTTTTTTTCTAAGTAGTCATCTTTTTTTTTTTTGAGGGAGAGAGAGAGAGAGAGAGAGAGAGAGAATTTTAATATTTATTTTTCTTAGTTCTCGGCAGACACAACATCTTTGTTTGTATGTGGTGCTGAGGATCAAACCCGGGCCACACGCATGCCAGGCGAGCGGGCCACCGCCTGAGCCACATCCCCAGCCCTCTAAGTAGTCATGTTAAATTTACTTCTTCTAAACAATGAAGTTCAAAAGTAAAAAAAAGAAATGTACTAAGAACTGACTCTTGACCCGCTGAAGAGGAGCCTGGGCTTCTGTGGGCCGCCCAGCAGCTCTCAGACACCGAGTTTTGCCAGTGGTGCTCCCGCTGGTGGGCACCAGGTGCGGGATGTGTCCCGGAGGGCTCCCCACTGAGCACCCCCTTTGCCCTCCGCTTGCTTTTGTCGTCCTCCCTTGAAAACCACTGCTGTCCTTTCTTTTGCTTGGCTACTTCCTAATTGGGTCCTCTCCCCTTCCTGGCAGGGGTCACTTTCACCAGGGATGGCCGCTACATGGCCTTGGCAGAGAGGCGGGACTGCAAGGACTATGTGAGCATCTTCGTGTGCAGCGACTGGCAGCTCCTGAGGGTACGGCGCTTCCTCACCCTGGGGGAGCAAGGCGCCCGGAGGTGGGCCCCCCAACACTGCTGCTGGCACTTGCGCTGTGTGGAGGGATTTTAACCACAGGGACAGAATGTAGATATTTTCGTTCATTTGTGCGTCAGAAAATTAAATGCATGAGTGTTAAAAATATTAAGTATACAGAGAAGGCAGCTGGCCGGAAGCATGCACTGCCTCACTTAGGAGCTCTGCATTTGCTCAGGCATTCGAGACCCACCTGGGCAACATGATGGGGCTCCCATCTCAAGAAAATACATGTATAAAAGAAACACTTATTTAGGAAAAGATTGGCAGATTTTCATGTTTTTCCTCTCCCCCTTGGAAGCATTTCGATACAGATACCCAGGACCTGGCAGGGATCGAGTGGGCCCCGAACGGTTGTGTGCTGGCAGTGTGGGATACCTGCTTGGAGGTACGGAGTGTGCCCAGTGACACGTCCTCTTCTAAGAGCGCCCACCTGCTCCTCACCTGGTGCTCTCTGCAGACAGTGAGACAGTGGGCTTGGCCTCGTTGCAGTTGACTGTCGTCAGGTGTATGCCACAGTCTCCCCTTTCCCTGTGCCACTGCAAGATGTAATCCCACTTTACAGGCAGGTGGAGGACACTTCCTCCTGTGCTGCTCCCCATGGGCTGCAGGAGTCTGCAGCGCCACTGCTGTGTGTTCCCTGGAAAGTGACGCCTGCATGTCTCCTCTGCAGTATAAGATCCTGCTATATTCCCTGGATGGCCGCCTGCTGTCTGCCTACTGTGCTTACGAGTGGTCCCTGGGCATCAAGTCGGTGGCTTGGAGCCCCAGCAGTCAGTTCCTGGCAGTGGGGAGCTACGACGGAAAGGTGGAGACAGGTGGGGTGGGAACCCAGTGAGCGGCCCTGCTTAGCCCCGCGGCTCACCTCAGCTATGCTTCTTTCTCCAGGTGCGCCTCCTTAATCATGTGACTTGGAAAATGATCACCGAGTTCGGGCATCCTGCAGCCATCAACAACCCCAAGATAGTAAGTCCGGGTGCTGAGCTGGGGTCTGAACAGTGTTTGGGGAGGGGGAGGCGCTGCTCTCGAATTCTGACCCTGCTGATGTTATTGTCCCCACACCTGCATCTTTCTGTGCCCTGCTGGTTCTGTCAGTGCAGGCTTATATTTCGAGCTGTGCTGCCCACAGGCTCTTCCAGCTACTGCACTTGCACTTCAGGCCTCCTTCCAAGAGGACCCGAGTCTGCCCCTGCCCCTGCCCCTGCATTTGGGCTGGGAGAGCTGGGCACCTCCACAGGGCCTGAGGAGGTCACGTTCCAGGCCCAGGGAGCAGGAAGCACAAAGTCCTCTGATGGAGAGGACTTTCGGTGTCCATTTGTGCAGCAGCAGCAACAAGTGCCCACTGCCTCCTGGCCTCTGGTCTGTGTGGGTGATGGTAGAAGATGAGATAAAAATGCTGGCCTCCCTGTTAGGGCTGCCTGGCCCTGAGGAGGAGAATACGAGTGGCGTGGCCGGCAGGCACAGGGCCAGGCCAGCCAGCCAGCCAGGGACCTTCCTGGAGGTGACATCAAGGTGAATACTGGGAGGAGGTGCAGAGAGGAGCTGCAGGTGTCGGGAATGGGTGATCTCAGGTGAAGGTGCCTCTTGGAGGGAGCGGTGAGGGAGGCTCTGTGAGGGAAGGCCGAGAGAAGGCTGACCATAAGGGCCCAAAGATGTGCCTGTGGCCTCTGCATCTCTCCAGGGCCTCTCACCATGTATGCCTTAAAAACTAAACCAGGTGAACCCTGCACCAGGACCCCCGAGTGTTGGTCAGCTTTCCCTGCTGTGACAGAATGCCTGCAGAAATGGCTTGCAGGTGGGAAGTCGTGGCCTCAGGGTTCAGTCCATGTCACCTAGCCCTCTTGCTTTGAGCCTGTGGCTAGGCAAAGCAGAGCTGCTTACCTCGTGGTGGCCAAGGAGCAGAGCAAGAGGGGAAGGCCTGGGTCCCAGGTCCCCTTTGAGGCCACGCCCCCAGTGACCTAACTTCCTCCCCTAGGTGCAACCTCCCCTTGTTGCTACAGGCTGAGGACCATCAGCAAATGGGCCTTTGGGGGACTTTAAGATCCAGACTGTAGGCCCGAGCCTGCCACACCCACCACCTCCTCAGGGAGGTTCCTCCGCATGCTGCTTGCTGGCATCTGGTGGTGCCCACTCTCCTTTGCCGTCACCAGGGAAGTGGACGCCCTGCTCACTTCTGCACGGTTGGCTGCAGGAGTGACCGGGTGCTGTCTGAACACAGCTGCACACTGGCTCCTCGCTTCTCAAGGGGCACTTGCCAGCAGGCTCAGGTGGCCCTGGAGAGCCTCCCTCCACAGGTGGAACCGTTACACCACAGCTGCTTGCCCAGCACCCTCGGGCATCCCCATAGCAGCTCCCAGGTCTCAGCCCTGTCCCTCCTACCTGGTGACCCGGTTGTCTTTCAGGTTGTGTATAAGGAAGCGGAGAAGGGCCCACCGCTGGGGCTGGGCCGCCTGTCCTTCCCGCCACCCCTACCACTGGCGGCCCCCCTCTCAGCCTCAGAGAGCAAATGTAAGTAGCAGAGGGCTACTGTCCTCTGCATGGGACACTTTGCTTGTTTTTGTTTTTCTTTTAAAATGAAAAAGATTCCTTTTTGTCCAAATACATTTCAGGTGCTCTTTATTTTTTCAAAAGTCCATTTCCCTTCCTGTGCTGCCTCCAGCCAGCGATGGAGTAAGTGCTGGAGTCTAGTTTGACAGCTGGCTCACTGAGGGCAGGACTTGACATCAAGAGTGAGGTGCCCCAGGGGATCAGAGAGCCTGCGGGGTGCAGTGAGCGGGACTAGGTGGACCCAGCAGGGTGTGGTGACACCTCGGCTGGTCCTGGCCATGCACTGGGGGCAAGGAACCTGTGCTCCAGAGGACACAGGGACCTTAGGGACATGTGGGGATAGCACCTGGCCCTTTGCAGGCGTGGAGGGTAGGAGGGCAGCCTGGCCCCAGGAAGCAGCTCACCGCCACTTGTCCTGCAGCCTCCTGCTGATGGTTTTATAAAGCTGTCTGCATCTGAAAGCCACAGAAGCAACGAGGTTGAGCTTGACTGAACCAGGACGGGTGGGGAACAACTGCTGAGTGTGAGAGCAGTGAGGGCAGCAAGGCTGGGTAGATCCGGAACAAGCCGGATGACATGGTGCCCTGTCATTTCTTCCTTACCAGACAATGTCCCCAACACTGTATGGGTCTGGGACATGCAGGCCTGGCAGGCAGTGGTGCTACTGTCCCTGGGGGGAGTTCCCCGGCCTCCGTGCTGTAGCCGACTCAGGCGAGCTCAGCATCTCTCCCTTGTGACGTTCCAGATGAGATCGCCTCTGTGCCAGTTTCCCTGCAGACCCTGAAGCCGGCCACCGACAGAGCGAACCCTAGGATGGGCGTGGGGATGCTGGCTTTCAGTGCTGACAGCTACTTCCTGGCCACAAGGAATGGTCAGTGTGCGCTGGTGTCCACCTGCTGTGCCCCACGCTCCAGGGGTAGAAACCATGGGAAAGGCAGAGCAAGTGAGGGGGCCGTGCGTGGGCTCTGATTGCCTGGCGAGATGCAGTGTCCTGCCGCAGAGGCCCCTCGGGAGTCCAGCTTATCTTTGCGGAGGCAGCAGGCCAGTGAGTCAGCAGCAGTACCTTGGCCTCTGCACACTCCTTCCTCCTTAAGAAAGAACAGGCGCCAGGCGCAGTGGCACGCGCCTTTGATCCCGCCTTTGATCCTCAAAGCCAGCCTCAGCAATCGCTGGGGAGGCTGAGACAGGAGGAGATGAGTTCACTGCCAGCAACGGCGAGGCGCTAAGCAACTCAGACCGTGTCTCGGGATGTGACTCAGTGGTCGAGTGCCCCCGAGTTCAATCCCTGGTATCCCATCCCCCCAAAAATACAAAAAGAAAGAATCGGGCATAGGGCAGGCAGTCTGCCCTGTAGGCCTGGTTCTTTTTTTTTTTTTTAATTAATGATGGCAGCTCTTACAACAAAGCCAAAGAACAACACTGGTGGGTGGTCTTTGAAGCCTGCGCTTTGCTCTGGAACCCTGGTCCTCTGAAGCAGGCTCAGGAACACTGACCTCTCCAGGGCTTGCTTGCAGAGGGGCCAGGCTACCTAGGGTCAGCAGAGCACAGATGACATGATGCCCTGTCATTTCTTCCTTCGCAGACAATGTCCCCAACACCGTCTGGGTCTGGGACATCCAGAAGCTCAGGCTCCTCGTGGTGCTGGAGCAGCTGGCCCCCGTGCGCTCTTTCCTGTGGGACCCACAGCAGCCTCGGCTGGCCATCTGCACAGGCGGCAGCAAGGTCTACCTGTGGTCCCCGGCGGGCTGCGTGTCGGTGCAGGTGCCTGGGGAGGGTGAGTGCATCCGGTGGGCGTGGAGCTGCAGCCTCTGGGGCAGCTGCCAGGCCCTCTGCTGTGCGGGGGAGCTCCTCCACGTCTTCCAGGAAACTTCAAGGCCTGTGCCCAGTGTGCACACCTGGCAGGACCCACCAACCTAAGCTTCATAGGGTGGATGGTGGCTTTGAGCTCTGCCTGGCTTCACCCATCTGGGGCACCCAGGTCCCTTCTGTTTGCCCGTGGGGTACAGGCTGCCTTCCCCAGGGATCCTCATCTCTCTGCTCTAATCCTCTGGCTACCCTTTTCTGTCTCTAGGTGACTTTCCGGTGCTTTCTCTGTGCTGGCATTCAAGTGGGGACTCCTTGGCCCTCCTCAGTAAGGATCACTTCTGTCTCTGTTTCCTGGACACTGAAGAGGGGGTCCACACAGCTTTGGAACAACGGGACAGCCATGCGTAGGCCCTGGTGGAACCCTCAGCAGGGACTCCATGTCCCCGATCTGGGAAGGAAGAGGTTCCCCTGGGAGCTTTCCGGCTGTGATGTGCTGGCTCAGTGACTTGACTCTGATTTTCTGTAGCAAGGGGGTTTTGTAAATATGTGTGGTATAAAGCTGTAATTTTCATTATTTAAAATAAATATTTGCTAATTTATAAAACATTGATGCTTATTTCCTTGAAGTGCCATCACGGCAGGTTTTCCAGGTTAGGCCGAGCTGCTAGTCAATCTCAGGACGTGAAGGACGCTGTGCTGCAGAGCCCACCCCACTGCCATGGCTACTTTGGGTTCTTTTCAGTCACTGGTGGTTTCAGGAGGGCATGGGTGTGCCTGCCCTCTGTGGTAGGGTGTACTCTGGAGTGAGGGGGACAAGCACCTGAGGGCAGGGCTCTCCTGGGTCCCCCTCAAGGGGATGATAGCTGGCAGGCAGCGGCTGGAGCACCAGGGGCGCTGGGAAGGCTGCCCAGCTGCCCGCACTGTGTCTCTTCATGGAGACGTGCCAGGCAGGATCCTGTTCCTGCTCCTGCAGAGCCCGCAGACAGACCTTCAAAGCTGAGGCTGGAGACTCACTGGGGAGCTGCTCCCCTGGCTGGGCACTAATTTTAATGACAATAACCTCAAAAAACAGCAACATCCATTTGGTTCTAAACATCTTTACTACAAGACTGCAAGTGCAGGCTGAAGACCTGGGTGCTTTGAGACAGCCTTCCACTGGACAGGCCACGTGTCCCGGTCGCATCCGTGCCAGCAAGCGTAAAGCCATGACAGAGCTGTAAGTGAGGAGGAGGAGACTGAGGAGCCAGCGCTCAAGTCGCGAGTGCTGCAGCCCCACTAGGCATGGGCTGGGAGACTGATGGCACCTGGAACCTACGGGCTGCAGGAGCCAGGGTGGCAGCGTGTCTCTGGGGATCTAACTCATCCTTGCTTTAAAGTGCATCCTTTAAAGAGCAAACTACCTATTTCCCTTTTAAACACGAACAAAATAACAAAAGCTGAGGATACCTATAGTTGTCAAAATTATGTGCAATTCCTCAACAAATTGTGTTAAATGATTCTCTGTAAACCTTTTTGGGCCTGGGGAAAAAGTATTAACAACTTGGATTAATTTTAGAAAACATACAACTGTAGGTCAACCATATTTACAAAAAACAACTGTCCGCTAGGCTCTGACAAGGTACAGACTGCTGTGACCAGTCTGTAGGCTGCTTTTGTATTTTGCTTAAAAAAATGGATAAAATTTCAAAAATACAAAATTTGACATGAGTGTAAACACATGTGCAAGTGCAGGCACTGGAGATGCCAGGCTCCTCCCCGTACTGAGGTCTACACAGCGAGGCGCGCAGATGCGCCCACAGACTAGAAGCATGCTGCAGGGGCTGGGCAGGAAACCACAAGAAGCTAATGGGCACTCGAGGGGACACGAACGGCAGCAGCTCGAGGTCAGCTACGTCTCTCTGCCCCTCTCTGTAGCTCACTAAGGAATTCACTGGACCATGCTAATAACACTCAGATCCCCAAAGGTGGCCACCCCGGTCCTCCCTCCAGTAGCAGCGGGCTGGCTTGAGGTCTCCCGCGTTCCCGAGTCCCACTCAACAAGGCTTTCCTTGGGGATGGCTCCACGCTGAGCTGTCTAGAAGCCAATCTTGCCTCTGGTCATGGAATAACCCAGCTTGGCCTCGTTGTTGATGAAGGACATCAATCCCACGTAGGTCTCGATGAGCAGGGGCCGCTCCAAGACCAGCACACCGCTTGCTTGTCCTGACAGAGGACTCTCTTTCTGGGCTTTTTTGACAGCTTGGATTAACAGAGCCTTGAAGCTTTCCAACTTCAAAGAGAAAAAAACAGGGAGCTTCAAGCAACAAAAGAGTGATCTGTTAAATGGAAAAATCGGCATTTTGAGACATTTAACTCTCTCAAAACACACACACACAGGCAGTGAGATGTTCTAAAAAACGTCTTTAAGGGATTTCATTTTGAGAATATCGCAGTACTTATACAACCAGTACGCAGGTCACTCGGGTGCCAGCGTGGCCGGTGTGGTACACTGCTTCACTGCACACTGTAGGGAGAAGCACCCTCTAAATGCTGATCAGAGAAAAACAGGCACGTAAGCCAGTCCTGGGTACTGCTGCCCGGCACCGCGTCCTGGACCGCGGGCGGTGATGCCATGTTTGCAGCTGTCTGCCCCGGTGCCCACCACTGCTGTGTGAGCAGGCTGCTGTGGCACAACGTGACTCTGTGGTGTGTGCCTTTTTCTTTGTTGAGCCCCTCAGGGCCCTCACTTGACAAGACTCCTCTCGGCCACTTCTTGGGAGTCCCTCCACAGCCCTCAGCGTGGCTCTCTGATTGGCGTGACACCTGCCATTGTGCTCGTGGGTTTAGACATCAGCCTTTCCTCCCGACAGGACTGTGGAGGGGGGCAAGTGTTTTGCCACAGAGGCCCACTTCATCCTAGGCAGGCTCCCAGGTGCAAGGCACCCAACCCATCTCTGTTCCAAACCTGGCCTGAGGCCCAGGGAGCACCCACACTAAGTGTCTTCAACATGGCGGGCCGGCTGCTACTCCCTACCGTGTGTCTGGGCTGTTCTCCAAGAGAATCAGCAGCAGCAAGGGGCCATGTTACAGACCAGCAGTCATACAGGGCTCCTCACACACAAACGAAATAATTTTTTTTTTCCCCAGTAATGGGAAAGGAACCCAGGGCGTTCTGCCACTGAGCTCCATTCTTGGGCCTTTTCGTTTTATTTTGAGACAGAGTCCTGCTAAGTAGCCCAGGCTGGCATTAAACTTGCAATCTTCCTGCCTCAGCTTCCAGAATCACTAGGATTACAAGTGGGCACCAAAGTGCATAGCTTAACCAGAATAAAATTTTTAAAATATTTTTTTTTAGTTGCAGTTGGACACAACACCTTTATTTATTTATTTTTTATGTGGTGCTGAGGATCGAACCCAGGGCTGCGCAGTGCTAGGTGAGCGCTCCACTGCTGAGCCCCAGCCCCAGCCCTAACCAAAAATTTTAAAAGCTACAAGTTTACTTCCTCATGGTCAGCAGGCATTCCTCAAGCTCTCACCCCGGCCTGTGGCCACAAGACTGGATGACACAGACCTCTCACCACTGCTGGACACGACAGCTGCAGTGGCTGCTGACCACCTGCTCACCTGGCACAGGGAAGCCGTCTTTTCATCCACACCAGCCATTGGGTGCTCTATGAAAGTGGCGTAGGGCACGTTCGTGGACCAGGGGTTCCATCTGTTTATGAAAGAAGGACGACTCTGCTTGTCCCACTGGATGCGAATCCCAAAGCCTTCTCGCCTGACACAGGAGAACAAACAGCCATCTTCAACACCACAGACAGGAGGCTCTCACACCCGTCAGAGACGAAAAGCAGCAGTTAACGTAGCTCTGTATCCCCAGGAAGACCCGAGACACTTCCCAACCAAAAGTGGCTTTGAGTGTCACTGTTACCCGGGCTGGCCTTGAACTCATGATCCTCCCTCCTCAGACTCCCAAGTAGCTGGGGATTATAGATGTACACCACCATGCCCAGCTTTTTGGCTTAAGGACTTTTAAATATGACAAGTTAAATATATTGTCTCGTTTATCTAAACTTTATCTTTACTTATGCATTAAAAATTAATAGAAATACATCACAGATAGCCTAACCCGTGATTAATGTTCATAACTTTGCTGTTTCTTTACTGTATTATTAAATGCTGGCTAAAATTTTTAATCATGTTGGCTCACTGAATTCTCCATTCAAATCTCTACATCAAACTCTAAATTGTAGCTGGGTGCAAAATAAAACCTCTGAATTTTACAGTTTAGGTTTTTTCCTATTAAAGATGATCAATTCTTTTTAAAAAATATTTTTTAGTTGTAGTTGACACAATATATTTTATTTATTTATTTTTATGTGGTGCTGACGATCGAACTCAGGGTCTCACACATGCTAGGCGAGTGCTCTACCGCTGAGCCAGCACCCCTGCCCCAAGATGATCAGTTCTTGAAAGTTGAGCAATAGATATTTTTTTTCCTCTTTTCTTTTTCTTTTTTGGTGGTATTGGGGACTAAACCCAGGGGTGGTCTACCACTGACCTACATCCCTGGCCCTTTTTTTGTTTTTAACTTTTTACTTTGAGATAGGGTCTCACTAAGTTGCCTAAGCTGTCCTCAAACTCACAATCCTCCTATCTCAGCCTCCAAAGTGGCTGGGATAATAGGTGTGTGCCTCTGTGCTTGGCTACCCCCAGATATTTGCAAATATATCCACCCTTAGTAATATCTATAAATTAAATTGGCACTCTTAAAAAAAATCAACCAACAAAATCACTGGGCTTGAACACGTAATCTTTCCTTGGATGGAGATAAAATGCCCTGAGGAACATCCAAGTTCACTTTTGACAGTGGCTCTGCTGGGATGTATCTGAAACCCAGTTAAACCACTTCCACTGCAAGCCTAAAAGGTGTCTTTCATGCCAAAATCCCTCTCAGTAAGCACTCCACTCCCAGAAAGTCACTTGCTTCTATTTTAAGGATCTTTCTATCCATCCTTCAGGCTGAGATCATTAGCTTACACAGAACAGCAGACACAGGACTACCACCTAGGGGTTTAAAAGAGCTGAGTTCTAAGGTCACAATGGTCCCAACGGCAAGATAAGGGCTTCTTTGAATGCACTCACTTGTTGAGAGATTTGGGGGGAAACTGGAACTCTCCGTGGGAGATGGTGTCCACTGCACTGAGTGCCACCCTGACCACCTGCTGGCACTGAAGGCTGATGAAGTCGTACTTACAGATGAGCAACGACTGGTCAGTGACCAACACCAGACGCTCTTTTTCGTTGTTCCAGTGGTCCACCCTAGAGGTGAAGACAAGTCACCTGTTCCCACCCTCTTGAGCAAACACGGCCCTGGTCTTCTCAGGGGGGTGTTCCAGTGGTTCGCAGGGCCTGGTCACGGGAAGTTCCCCCCCAACACCGGAGGCTCGCTTACTCGGTCAGCAGCCACACCCCCTGGATCTCGCCGTCCTCCACGGGCCGGAAAATGGCGCGGATCTCTTCCACGGCCTGCTCGATGGTGCCGGGCTGGACGCGGCCGGGGCAGAGGTCACTCTGGGCAGGCGCTCTCCTCTCCTCCTGTCCCTCCTGCTTCCCAGGGCCTGGTCCTCCTCCCCAGCCTCCCAGACCCTCCCGCGGTCCCAGCTTCCTCCCGTGCCCTCCCCGTCCGTGCCCGACCCTCCTCCCCAGCCCTCCCGCTGCCCTCCCCGTGCCCGACCCTCCTCCCCTGTCCTCCCACTGCCCTCCCCGTGCCCAACCATCCTCCCCTGCCCTCCCGCGGCCCGGCCCGGCCAGGCCCTCACCCGGAACACGAAGTACTCCTTGACGCGGGCGCGGCGCGTGGGGTCGTGGACGCTGAGCGGCCACAGCGTCTGGCGCAGTGGCGTGCCCACCCCTGCCCGGGCCCCGCCCGCGCTGCCCGGCCCCACGTCCTCGCCGGCCGCCAGCAGGGCCGTGGGGCTCGTGCCCGCGGAGTCCACCGAGTCCCGCAGCTGCAGCATCGCCACTCCGGGCCGGGACCCTACCCCGAAGCCGCCGCCTTAGGGCCACCGCCCGCAGCCGTCAGCGCTGCCCCGCCCTTTAGTCTCGATTGGCTGAGAGCCGCCGGACCCGCCCCAGTCTCCGCCCCTAAAGCGCCCGCCTCCCCCTTGGGATTGGCTCTTTCCCAGCCGTCCTCCGCGATTGGCTGCGGCCCTCCGCTGTTCACATTCCCTCGCACCCCTAGCCGCACCGGAAGCAGCTGTGGCTCGCAGACCCACTTCCTGTTTACGGAACTGAAAACGGACCACACCGAGCGTGTTGCCAGGGAGACGCGGGCGTCGGGGGAGGAGGAAGGGGAGGGCCGCGGGAAGGAGGAGCCAGGAACTCTCGGAACCTGGACCTCCTAGTGCTGGGGCTCCGTGAGCGGGGTGTGCGCACTCGCCCATTTGAGTAACGCCCCTTCCGCCTTGGCGGGAGTGGCTGCTGTACGTACGCGCCTGTGCGCTTGGGCCGTGTGAGTACGTCGGGCGTGTGCGTAGCCAAGTGCGTGTGAACGTTAGGTGTGTGCACGTCAGGTGTCCGCACCTGGCGGAAGGCTGCGCGGTGGTGAAGGGTTTGCGTGGATCCAGCGGTCCTCGGGGCGGGACCGCAGATCCCCTGCAGAGCTCTGCCAGGGCCTGAAACTGGAGCTCCCCAGGAACTGTGGGGCCCAGCGCGGTGCTGAATTCAGGCACCCTTCGCGTCCTCATAGGGACCTTAGGAAGCAGGCAGAAGAGGATACTTGAGGCACAGGATCAGCCACCTGCCAGTGTCACACCACCAAGGTTCAGGCTGGGCATTCTTCTGACCTGCTCTTGTCCCGAGGGTCACTATACGGTTGTCTCTCCTCCCCCAGCCCAGCGATCTGCCCAGGAGCTGCACACTGCCCTGGATTCTGCTATCCCTTCGGGAGACTCAGCCCATCCCAGTGTCACCCTCCTTGGCACTATCTTCACAGGCTTCTGGTCCCTCTGACCACTGCCCTGTCATGTCCCTGTTGCCCCCACACACACACACACACACATGAGACTCTTGTCAACTCCGTGTGCTCACCTCCCCGGGAGATGTTCCGCCATTCACCAGGACTTGCTTTGTTCATGTTCTTGGCTCATGTAGGTCACTCGCTGTGCCCTGGGTCATCGTGCTGTGTGTGCTGCCATGTTGGGAGTCTCTGGAGCTAGCCCCTCTTCTCTGGGTCTTCATGACCGCTTTCAGAGTTCTTTACCTTTCATGACAGCGCAGGGATGTAAATGCTATTGTGCCTGCTGCAGACCTGTAAACAGGTCTAGGTCTGGAGAGTTTCCGGAACTGTCTGAGGTTGCACAACTGTGCCGACCAGCAGCGACCCTCCTGGCTTGTGTAAAATGCAAGGGCTGGTGAGACCTTCATCCCCAAGATCTCCCAGACCACACTTAAGAGCTGCTCACAAGAGGTCAGCATTGATAGAAGCAGGAGACACCAGAATACTTTGCTTCCTGAAAAACTCAAGATTTTGAAGTGGGCAAAGTGAGTGTGCAAATATATGATGGCATGTTGCTAGCACCATGGGCCTGTGGAGTTGGGGCTGAAGTTCAGCTAGCTGCTACACCTTCAGTGGACCAGGGGCAGGTCATACCCCCACCCCTGCTGTGGGCCCTGCCCTTTGGAGGAGGAAGCCCCTCCTCTCTGGCAGTGGAGCCCCTGCCCAGCCCTTGTTGGGGAGCAGCCTGAGCCTTTGGGCTAGAAGAGCAGTGTCCCTTTCATCCTAGAGATGGTGGTGCAGAGCTAGCCCTCAGTGGCAGCTGGCTGGACTTGGAGCCAGAGCTTCTGGGTTTGAATCCTAGCTCCCTGGCTTCTGTCCACCTGGACTTGGCCATGTGAGCTCTCTGTGCTTGGTTTCTGTGTCAAGTGGGATATCCTAGGATGTTTCTGGTGGCCTGTTGAGCCCTGGCCTGGCTCAACAGCGGTGGTCCACTAACCTCAAAGCATCTGGAGAGATGGCAAAACTGCTTCTGCTCTCTCCACCTGTGTATGGGGTTGGGGGCACATTACCAAGAACACTAGTCCCCGAGGTTGTCACTGTCATATCAACAAAGGACTAAGCTAGGACTTTCCCCTGGGCCTGTGAGAACCCGAGTCTGAGCAGCAGCAGAGCCCCCACCACTTGCCTCTGTGCCAGTGGCTCCCAGGAGGGGTGGCAGGGAGGGTGTTCCTGCCTCACCTGACCCACGTGCCACCAACTTCCAGAGCCACCATCAAACATGGTGAGCAGGAGGGGAAGTCCCCTTCTTGGACAGCAGGACTGGTTATGGGCCTGGTTAGGGTCTCCTGGCAGAGCATGGCAGCTGGGGCTCCTAGGAGGAGCACTGAAGGAGGGAGGGTGACAGTGAACACATTAGCCAATCCCCAAACACCAATGCAGAATGTTGTCCCCGATATGAGGAGGCTGGTTCATACCGGGGTTGGGGGGCATGGGAGGATTAGACGAACTCTAGATAGGGCAGAGAGGTGGGAGGGGGCCTGGGGGTAGGAAAGACAGTGGGATGAGATGGACATCATTACCCTAACTAAGTACATGTATGAAGACACGAATGGTGTGAATAAACTTTGTGTACAACCAGAGACATGAAAACTTGTGCTCTATGTGTGTAATATGAGTTGTAATGCATTCTGCTGTCATATATAACAAATTAGAATTTTTTAAAAAAGTGAACAGCAGTTACCATGGGTGCTCTGGGGGACTTGGGAAATGTTTGGATGGAGACCAAGCAGTAGAAAGAGGGGCAGCCAGTCCCCGGTGGAGCCACTGTGGGAGGGGTGCAGTGGAGCCTGGCAGAGCCTGTGGTCTGAATGCCACCTCATTCCACACCCATGCTGCCCTCGAACCTGTTATGTACCCTTCCTGATTCCCTGTCCTCACCCAGAAGGCAAGGTAGGCAAAGCCTGGGTGGGTGCCATCGCTGCTGTGAGGCCTGCGTCAGCAATGTGCATGGAAGGCCCCTGGCTCCACTCAGCACGTCCAGTGCCCTGCGCAGCCAGCTCAGAGAGCTCGGCAGCATCTGTGGAATGACAGTGACAGCTCGGAGATGGAGAACGGGAGATCCTGGGGTCAGGACTGGCTTAGGGCAGGAGGACAGTCCCCACCACTGGGGACCTGCAGGTGAGCAGGCTACCTAGAATAGTGCACAGGCACTGGCAGCAGACACCAGGTGCTCAGGTAAGAGGGGAAAGATGACTCAGGGAGAGCCATGCGAGTGTCTCTAAGCCTGGGTCCCCACAGGGTGCACCAGTGTGCCCACACCATGTTCTCCAGAGCGGGATCCCACAGCCAGTGAGGGAGGGAGACACTGCCTCTCCCCGAAAGGCTGCCTTGGGACACGACCCTGGGAAATGGCTTGGGTTGGGCAGCAGGATGAATAGGAGACCCCCTCAGAGAAGTATTGCCCTGGGGGAGCTTGAGGTCAGGTGTCCAGTCAGGATCAGGGAGAGGGCAAGGGAGAGCACTGAGGGATGAAGAGCAAGCCTGGAGGGAGCTGAGCGCTGGGAGGCACGACAGCCCTGATGGCCTGATGGCCGGGACACAGTGGTCTGGAACTGGTTCTGCAGAGAGGACAGTTCTGGGTGGTGGCAGATATCTAGGTATGGACGTGGGGCTGGTGCCCCAGTGAGGAGGATACAGATCTGTGGGCGCCTGAGCCCAGGACAGTGCAGAGGCCCGGTGCCGGCAGGAGCAGTCAAGGTGATGGGGGTGCCTAGCCTTCTGTGGCCATAGGGCGTGACCTGGACATACATCAACTTGAAAAATGCACGCAGACCATAAACAAGTAGCGTTCCATGATGTACAATAGCCACCGACAAAGCCACAAGCCGCTTGTTTAAGACAGCAGAAATTTACTCTCTGGTAGCTCCAGAGACGGCAAGTCCCATGTTGAGGTGTGGGCAGGGCTGCTCTCCCTCTGAAGCCCCCGGGAGGCGCTTTCCTTGCTCTTCCAGCCTCTGGCATTGCTGGTGACCCTCTGTGCTCCCTGGCTTGTGGCCACCTCCCGGCCTCTGTCCTGTTTTCACGGCCATCTTCTCCCAGGTGACCCTTCTTCACATGCACCACTCACGCTAGATCAGGGCCTGCCCTAGTGACCTCATCTTAGCTGGATCACCCACAAGAGCCCTGCTCCCCAATAAGTCCACATGCGCTGCTGGCAGCAGGTGGATCGTTCCTGTGTGTGAGGAAGGTCGCTGTACCTGCACCTGTCAGAGTGGGAGGGAGATAGCTGTGACTGGCCTCCAGGTGGGGGGCCTTGAGAGGCCATTCCCATATCCACCAGGAGGTGGCAGCGCAGGCAAACAGAGGCAGAGTTCCACAGCTGGGGTGGATCTGCATCCTAGACAAAGTCATTATTTATCTTAGTTCCTGAAGAAGACTCAAAACCTCAGCTTGGAAGAGGAGATTCTTATCTTAATGTCCAGATGTTGTGATTCACCATTTCACAAAATCAAGGAGTCCCACTTTTTTGGTGTGTGTGGCGGAGGGGGACAGTGCTGGGGATTGAACCCAGGCCTCAAGACTCAAGCATGCTAGGCAAGTACCCTACCACTGAGCTATATCCCCAGCTTAGCCCCACCTTTGACACTTGACTGAGGGACGTGGGAGCCCAGGGTGGGCCCTCAGAGCTGCTGGGATTCTGCAGGTGTTGGCAACAACTCCTCTGGCATGGGGGTCAGCATGCAACTTAGAGATAGTGGCACGCAGGGCCCATGGCCAGCCCCCTTCCAGTGACAACTGCACATTAAGCCAGTTCTCCAGTATCTCTCAGCCTTTCCCCACTCTGTGGAACCAGGGCTCTGACTTGGCTGTTGTTGTGAGCTCTGGTGCCACACTGCCCTTAACAGGTGCCTCTGGTGACCATGACAGGAGGAGGCTGAGGATGGGATGCACATGGCTGTGGCCCCAAGAAATGCATGGCCTTCATGTGCAAAGTGCATTCAGCAAGAGAGCTGTGCCCGGAAGTGGCCCCAGAGAAGCCTCTGCCTGCCCCATATGTGGTGATGCTGAGACTGCCCAGCCCAGGG